TTCAGGATGAAGGGTTAAGGGTTTAGGGTTTGAGGGTTGCGTACGCCATTTTTGAAGCATATATCCCGCAAATTGAAGGTTACTCATGAGTAGGTCTCTATATAACCTCTACAGAGCTCCCTTGAGATGAAAAGGGCTCCCTGAACCCTAACTCCTAAACAATAACCGTCACTAAGCCCTCAACATTGAGCCGAAGAATGTATATAGGGATAACGGAAAGGATACGGAAACAACTTTTTGGGGTTTAAGCGTAGAGTTTAGGGTTTACCAGAGCCTAGAACCCCAAAGCCCTACGCACCTGAACGCGAAGCCCCACGAGTTTAGGGGTTCATGCCCCTAAAGCCTTAACTCTCGACTCCAAACCCTAAACCTTAAACCCTATCCCTTTACCCTAAACTCCAACCCCTAAACCCTTAACCGTAACCCTTAACCCTGACCCGTCACCCTAAACTTCCCTCACCCTAAACCCTAACCCTAAACCCTAAACTCCAAATACTAACCCGTAACCCTAAACTCCAAACCCTGAACCCCTAACCCTTAACCCTCGTCCTTTACCCTAAACTCCCAACCCTTAACCCTAAACTCCAAACCCTAAACCCTATAAACCGAGCCTTCGCATTGACGTCGCCTCCGGATCCAGCGGACCTCGAGTTCAACGGCTTAGTGTAGGGCCTAAATTATGAGAATAAGGTCTATATACGGTTTAGGGTTTAGGGCCTAAATTATGAGAATAAGGTTTAGATGCGGTTTAGGGTTTAGGGCCTAGATTATGAGAATAAGGTTTATATACGGTTTAGGGTTTAGGGCCTAGATTATGAGAATAAGGTTGATATACGGTTTAGGGTTTAGGGCCTAGATTATGAGAATAAGGTGTATATGCGGTTTAGGGTTTAGGGCCTAAATTATGAAAAAAGGTCTATATGCGGTTTAGGGTTTAGGGCCTAGATTATGAGAATAAGGTTGATATACGGTTTAGGGTTTAGGGCCTAGATAATGAGAATAAGGTGTATACGCGGTTTAGGGTTTAGGGTCTAAAAGTTATGAGAATACGGTTTA